CTTTAGGAGGAAGAATCAACTGCATTTAACAATTCTTTCGAATAGAAAATTCTGCTTTATAAATTTATTGAGAAATTTTACCAAAATTTTTAGTGTTAGATATGAAAAGCGTAGTGAATAACTAAATAAAAGCATGTCTTCGTTATGCATATGTAGATGAAGCTATTCTCTAATGGTGGGATAAGATCATGCGGGATTTTATCTGATCTTTTCATCAATATCGAAATGATTTCAATCCTATTTTATGTGAAAAAAATCCCAACAAAACGAAGTTCTTTATGACATTTAGTCTACTATGATCAATTTTACTCATGTTGTCAGGACAGGCATGGGATAGCCTCAAGCATGTAGTTTTATCGATTTGATGTAAGGAGGGTTTCAGCCTAATGACTGTCCATATTTTTGTCCAAAATGCGATTAGTGTATACTGTAGTAGCATACGAGCAATTCATTCCTTAAATAAAGTTAGATTATTACCTTATTCCTCTAGTTTAAGTAGCGTGCTGACATTTCGAGTATTTTTTTTTTGCGATAATCTCATCTTACATTCTTTAAATAATTTCCAACATCTCATCAAATATGGATGTGAGCTGAATGAAATAACTAATGTCGCTTACTTTAATATTATAGATCATATTTTAACGTTCTCAGTTTTTTTGGGTCAATTATTTGTATAAAAACTGTTTTATATACAGTCTTCCTCATCAACGATGAGTCTATCAGAAATCCTTAGAAGATGAAAGGATACAAGAAATCTTTTCCTATTTATCTTCTACCAGCTAGGGAATATAAATCTCAGACTTACAAATCCAATAATCAGATGCTTTAAAAGGATTACGCTAATTGTAAGTGTTAACTGGGGAAATATATTTGTCACTGATTTTGTGTATTTTTTTGTTATCTGCATCCAGGATATATACAAAGCTTTACTAGGACAACTAGTCTGCTACGTCATTCCTCTTTTATTAGATAAAGAATGAACTTTGTTGATGTAGAAGAAGTATTTTACAATTATAGTAGAATATAATTCCACATTACACAATTTCACTTGCTATGACACACAATGTTAAAAGTATTGATAGCTGGATAACCCCCTAAGTCTAAAGAAGAAAGTCAGGAAGTCTTGTGAATGCATTGATACGATTTTGAGTGATAAATTCTCCTTGAAACCATTTCAAAGTTACTAATACTGTCTCCTTGTGTATCCTGTATCATATGAACTTATCCAATATGGAATGAAATTTACTTTTAAGTATTGTTGATGTGAAATAGGAGGACTATTAAGGCCTTGTGAGCTTGTTTCATAAGAATTTAAGGGTTAAGCTTAGTCATATGCTACTCGAGATATTGAAGTCAGATTTGATTTAGTGTGACTCGTTAGAGCGCCGAAGAAACGGTGAAAACACTTACGCTAAAGATACAAAACTAAGATTTACTGGCACAGTCACTAAAAATATAAATTCCAATGTAGCACAATATTTTCAGTTAAAGACATAAAGGGAATTCTAGCATTCCTTATCCTTCCTTCTGTTATTCTATTAAGAAGGAATAAGTATACATTTTTCTGAATCCTGTATTTACTCAACGGGATTTAGTAAATAATCTAATTAGGTTTCGAAAGATAAATATTTACGCAGTAATTTCTGCTAATCAATAGACAGTATTCTAGATTAAGAATGATTATCATTTGTCCAGAAAACGTGTCACTTTTTCCCTTAAATTATAACTAAAACTCCAGATAAAATGTTACTGCGAACTACTTCGAGAGAACTTTTAAAAGAGTGATTGGAAAAATACGTACAGGCTTTGGCCATTGATTAACACGTTTCAGACTCTTAAAAATGACCTATGAAACATTTGTTGACTAACACAGATGTTTTGAGGATAGTTTTTATCAAGAAAGGAGAAAAATAATTTTAATCAGGAAATGTCGAATACCACTTTAATCATAGCTTTTCTTATTCGTGCATACTGAGGTTAAAGGTGTAGGGGATTAAATAGTCAGCTAAATAAGTTTACGAAATATCAAAGTAAAAATCCAACTCAAATAGAAATGTTGCGACAGTTTATAGTAGATTTATGAATAAATGAATTATAAAAGACAATTTTTTTCCTTTACGTTCCCCATTGGAACATAGGGCTTTAAGCTAGTGGCTTGAATTTTCTGTAACAGTGTTTATTTTATAGAATGGGGTTGCTAGCCTCATGCCCAACCATTTTCTCTTTACCAGCATTATTTCTGGCTTAGAGAAGTAAAGGAGTGCGTCGTGTGGCCGGGGATCGAATCTTAGACCGTGTGCATGGTCGGCGAGCGTCCTAACCGCTATGCCACCGACACACACAAAAGGCAATAGTTATTTGGAAATATAGTTATAGTCCACTACTACAAATTAACAATATAATCCACAGTCCACAGCTGGACTGAGTCCATAGGTAAAAGTTGTTCACCGGTTGTTGAAGAGTCCTATAAGTTCCAAAGAATACAACACAAGGATTATTAGATCAAGCAGACCGTGAAAATCAGTGAGAAGACCAAGCAAGGAACGGTGTATTTTATTCAGACTTGACATTTAAATATTTCTAACAAAGTTGTCGATTAAACAAAAGTTATGTACAATGTTCTCATCTTTAAAATTTAGCGAAAATTATACAAATTTATTGTTCAGGACTCCATACAGGTACCACCTGCTTTTATTTCTCATAGTTTTACCTGGCTCATTGTGGAATTCATTTCTTCATCTTAAAATACGTAAATAAACACCAGAAAAAAAGTACCTCTCTTAAGAACTTATCTGTTTGACCATATATGGAACTAGGGAACTGGATATGTGCATCTCTGGTGTATACTATTAAAAACCTTTTTTTAAAATTAAACTTCATAATGTTAACACATAAAGTATCACATAAATGTTTAATCATCTGACACTTTTGTTTAAATTAACTATTTCAGTTTGTCAACGACTTTTTGAAAATTTGTGAAATTATGTGTTATTCTCTTTTATGTGTACTTTTTGATATTGTTTAGGCTGTAAGCAGTTGAGAAGAATTCCAAAAATGTTTGTAAGTGTTTTAATACTTTCCTGGTACATTTGTCACTCGTGCTCCTTTCAGTTATATCAGTGGAAGAACTATATTCATACAGTTTACTCTTCATTCAAATGAAATGATATATTCTAGTAGACTTTGAGTTAATATAACTAATGCATATCTTGGCGAAACAGTACAGTTTCATCATAGCGGTTCATTTGTCCCTGTGGCATGGCGAAGAACAAAGCTATATTACGGAGTCTGTCAAGTTTTGTTGGGATATTCAAGTAGCTTTTCAGCATCACAACTAAAGCAAGTCTTCAGGATTTCATCATGAGCTGACATTAGTTAGAGAACCATTGGAAAACCTGGGAGTACTGGACAGCTGGTTCTCTAACTAATGTCAGCTCATGATGAAATCCTGAAAACCAATCAAATCCCTACAAACCAACACTTAAAGCAAGTCTATCAGACTTAGTCAAGCCATTTGTATTTGAGTAACAGTTTTATCACACAAAAGGCTTGTGAAAATCATAAGATGTCCTACATAACTGAATTAAACAACATATCGAACCATTTTAATCACTACTGCCGTTTGACAGTTTGTAAATAACAAATTAGGAAGCTACCCAAAAACCTGTTGTTTAACAGATATGTAGGAGAAAATCGGGATGGATGGATTGAGCATACGCTAAGTAGACCGTTGGATGACATCGCACTTTAGTCCATTGCTCGAGTGGAATCCGAATGGGAAACGAAGAGTGAGTTGTCCAAGGGTGACATGAAGAGATTATGGACAGTCTTGGACTCAGCTGAAGAGGATAGCATAAAACAGACGAAAGTGGAGATGTGCTGCCAAAGCCGTAGGTTCCACTCGGAACCCAATGGAACAATAATAATATAACTGGACTCTCATTTATATTTATATTCTGAGGATGGTTTGTGCTGAGTTTCATATCAGTCATTCAGAAAGCTACAATTTCAATCCTTAAATGCTCTGAGTAACATTATTTCCATTTCAGGTACAGGCTTTTGTACAGTCTCGTGAGTGTATTTGTTTCAGGGCAAGCTTCATGCAATACCATGGTCTTTTATTGAATATACAACATGCCTACTGTTTCTCCGGAGAAACTCTCTGTTTACATTATTGATGTGACCTAGATATACATTCTAACCATTTTGTTTGTTTTTAGAAATTAGTCTGGATACGCAGCTGGGAACGTAGGTTATGGGAACTATCTTCTTACCGAGTGAATTATGACAGCTTACTGCTGATGTCGTCTAGCAGATATGATGTCGAAAGGTTGGATAAGTAGTATTCATTTATGTGACGGCTGTACAAAATCCTATCTCACTGAAGCTCAGCTAAAACCTAAACGTCAACTTGGTCTCAGTTGTCGGAGTACTGGTCTGATAATCTAAAGACCACTAGAATTAATCTTGAGAAAATCATTGTTTTCGCCACAACTTCAGTCATCACAATAACACATTAAAAGCAGTATGTTTGACCAACTTTTTTTCTTAAATAATCTCACCGATAATTGAACAGAGGCCTTGAATAGTAATGATCAATAGAATAAAAGATGAGGGTTTCTGAAGTGGGTTGATGGTAGAAACTGTAATGAAAACGTCTGTTGAAGCAAAATTCAGGAAATCTATTACCCTGTGATATATCGATTACTGTGATATTAACTCTGGTTTCAACAATATGCCGATAATTCAGATAATTACGTTTTCCGGATAACTTTTATCTCTTTGTATTCTATACACTACAAAAATTTCATTTATTTCGTTTTAAAAAAGAAATTAAGAAAAAAGACTACTTGTTCGACTCAGCCTAAGAAATTTTCCATAGATTGGTGAGGTTTGAATAATTTTACCAATCATAAGTGGTTGGATAGACAGTTGGGTAAATTGATAGATAAACAGACAGAGTATATTTCTGACCTTAAATACACATCCACTATCTGATAGAGAAACAGACATACCATGGGAAGTTTTTCTGTACTATAAAACTAATTTGCCGGATGAGAAGCTATGAATACAACTTCAAGAGAAAAGTTGAGTTGAGAATAATGCAAACATTATATCACGTTTTCGACTTAATTCCTGTGGTTATTATTATAAACAAGTTTTCAATTAAATAATCATGTTTGAAGCAAGCGTATTAAATGGACTTACGCGACTAAGTATTGAAATTGGCAGCAGTAGGAGTAGAACTGATGATGATTTTATTGATCGTATCAATCATTCTTATACAACAACAATGCTTATGATATGCACATTGGTTGTAATGGGCAGACAATTCATTGGTAAACCAATAGCTTGTTGGACACCAAATGAATTTACTAGTGCACAAGTTGAATATGCAACATTAGTATGCTGGGTTACATCAACTTACTTCATTTCACCTGATCAAGCTACAATACCTGCGGATTTAACAGTACGTAGAAAAGACTCCATACACTACTACCAATGGGTACCATTTTTATTAATGTTTCAAGCTGCTATGTTTTCAGTGCCATGTATTGTATGGCGTTTATTTAACTGGCAGTCACGTATTCATGTAAGTTGATAAGTTGGAGTCTCTTTATCGCTGTTTACTTGTCATTTTCAATTAAACAAATTTCCCCTGCCGGTCCAATTTTTCCAAACCATTCAACTACATGAAATAATCCTTTTATTTCAATAGCCTAGTAAAGTAATAAACCCCTTTATGGTCACATGTATCGCATGCGTTGTGTTCACTATATAAATTGTGTTTCTGAAGAAGAGGAGGTTTCATATTATCGACCATATTTGTGATTTTTTTCAGTAAAAAATAGCAGGGTATAATGTGTTGACAGTATGATACCATATAACTAGTTGAAGATTTCCTACCTCACACTGTAGTGTTTGGTAACCAGATCAAAGTGATGCAGACTTCCACCTAGAATTGTGTAATTTACAAATGGCGAATATAATCATGCATTAAACTAGCAATTATTTAATTAACCAGTCATTTAACTAATGAATATCATTGCCGATAGAATTTCATGAATTTTATACCTTGTGAATTCCACCTCCACTAATTGCAGTACTCTTAGTTATTTTCTGAAAAGGTAGTTCGTCTTTTACTCCATGACACTCAAGGTAAATCATGAACACAAATACTAGTAAATCAAAAAATACTTTTGGATAAGAGATTTTAGTGAATAAAGATACTTTTGAATACAATGATTAGTAAAAGTAGTTTCAAAATAACAAAGAATTGGTTTATACACGCTATACGTAGTGGATCAAATAACTTGTTTATACAGTGCACTGAAAGTTTTATTTCATTCTGACAGTCTTGGGAAAATGAAGAAATACAAAAGGTTTCTTCAGAATAAATAAATTCATTGGAATTGTTAAATATCATTTTGTACTTTTCGTTTAACATCATTGGATGAAGTTTGTTGAGCTTTCTAAAGTGCACAGATATTTCAGTGGTTCTTTCATTGAGGTGGTTTTTATCGCCATTAATTATATTCTACTAAGAATAAAATGCGGCGAATCCATTTTGACATTGAAAACAATAATTCATTATACTAGCGAATAGTGACATTGATATCATGCACGACTTGCAATACTTGGAGCTTAGGAAACTTATGTTATTGCAGCAAATAATTAGCTAACCAGCTAACTAATTCGGTCTGTTTTCTATCGTCATTCACTACTGGGCATACTATAGCCCTACACTAAGCTTCCTTTTGTTACTGTTTAGTCAGGTAGCACCTTATTTGTCTGATTATTACTCATCTTTTAAGACAAGCATAATATTCCCTTATGTTTACACCTCTGACTGTCCAGGGAATTTTATCAAGCAATAACTGGAAAATCTGAAAAAAGCCACAGGAAACAGGAGTTAGCATACTTAATACTTCTTTTAGATATCTTAATGAGATATAGATAAATGTAATAGCCTTTTGAAATCTATAAATATTTATCATAATGCAATCATTATTAAAATATAAATAAAAGCTTTTAAAGTACTCAGAGTGACGTTTTACAACTCTTTTTAGCGTACATGATGTTGATCAGTGTGACAGCATAAACATCACAAAGATCTCAAGTACATTTTTGCTTCATTCACATTAGTTTTGTGACCGATTATATCCGATTTCTAGATAGTCTGTTTTTTAATTTTATTTGAGTGGGGAAAGTGAATCAGGCAGCCTGAATCAATGGAATATACGGAGAGATTACAAAATAATAATCAAGCTACCTGCCTGTTTGTCTATCTCTAATTCCATTTATCTAAGTAAAACGTTGTAGGCCAACCAAATTCTTTATCATCGGGCTAAACAGTGTGATAAAAAGGATAAGTTAGAGTGTCTGGACAGCTTGTGTTACTGTAGCTGTCAATCAACTTTCATTAACCCTTTCCGTCAAAAAGACTAATATTGACACTACACAACCTATAAATGTAATAAGCTACAAATGTGTTCTGCTTACAGAATGTTCACTTTCTATTGACCTCTGCAGAGAGATATTTCTAAAGCCATGTATTGCATTCCAAAGTTCAGTTTTAGCTGAAAGTAATCTAAAATAAACACTGGATCAGTTCACTTTGAACTGTTAGAGCTTTAAAAGTTTAAAGAACCTACTATTGTGTTTACGAAAGTGTTGAAAAATAAAAGCAGAAAGATTTGAAAAGGTTTTGTTTAGCCTACCATGCTACCATGTTTCGCCAACCATGCACATGGTCTGGGGTTCGGCCCCCGGCCGACGCACTCCTTTACCTCGCTAAGCCAAAAATAATCCTGGTAAAGAGGAAAGGTTGGGCATGAGGCTAGCAACCCCATCCTGTAAAATAAACACTGCTAAGGAAACTTCAAGCCCTATGTTCCACTGGAGAACGTGAAGGGGAAAAATAATTTGTAAAGTTAGGTAAAGACAAGAATTATTCAAGACCTCTGATACAGAATTACTATCTGATAGATAACTGTCATCAGATTATCACAATTATCATCAATTATCACAATGCACTTCAGTAAGAGAAGGAGAAACTCTCAGCCAAGAATATCCATTACTGCCGGATTAAAAGTTTATAGTTTTGTTGAACAAATACTTTTGTTTTCAACGCTAAGCTTGTAAGCACACATAAAATGTTTATTTGATTTTCATTTAATATCAGATGAATAAAACATACGGATAATCATCACTAGCGATGAATATTTCCTTAAAATAAATTGTTTTTTGGAAGTCAGTAAATTTCCCACGAATTTCTGATCATTCTCTGAGGTTTTACAAATATGCAAATAAATAAGCATTGGTCAATCCTAGTGAACATTTAGGAATTAGCAATGAAACGAATAACTGATTTCATACACATGATTCCCCTTGGTAAATTACGATAAAGTGTGAAAGACTGAATTCTCCGCATGAAATGATATCATTTGATTCCATGGGTTTTCATCAGCTGCAAACTACCTGAAACTCCAGTGGTTGTAAAATAATACTTCAGTATTGGGATGAGAGCAGAGAAAGTGTTTTAAACTAAGACATCCAAAATATGAGCATCACAATTTGCAGTTCAGGTTGTTAGGCAAGAAATTACGAGAATCGTTTTATTCTATTCTCAGATTCGTCTTTAGTAATAGGCATACAGACTGTGGTTGAATCGACCAGCTCAGAGAACACAACACACACCATAGAGAATGTTGAAATCCTCTCTTAACTTGTTATACTGATGCAAGCATATTCTCAACTTTCGGAATATTTCTGCATGCAGACACAACCTTTTAAAGTAAGCTGATAATATTTTTAGGCTCAATGTTATTGACTGTCAAAATGAGTTTCCCTCTAAGTAAAGATTTTACCTGAAAAATTTTCAGTGCAATTCAATAAAAGCTAAAACCTCAGTGACAGTATGAAATAGATAATTCAACTATTTTTGCCGGTATCTTCCCTCATCACCTTAAATGTTCTATACATACGGAAGAACACAACGTTATTTAGTTACCTAACTATGAAATAAACGTTAGTATTCTGTATTGTGTGACATTGGAACAACTCTGAAGTTCGATTTCATAAACAAACTAATGCTTTTTATTTCTTACTTATTCACACTCTGAAAAAATGAAAATATATTCACTTATGCGTTTATATATGCTTTGAAATGAAAAGCAACTGGAAATATTGTTAACAAATACCAACGGAAAATAGATTATAACATTCGACTGCAGAAGTGTGAAAACTTAGAGATTATCTTATAAAGGTTTACCTTAGATATAATAAACCAATGTATGCAAGTTAATTAGTGAATTAAAGGTCTTCAACAGTTCAAGGCTAACTTCACAACTTTTTTGGTCCTTAATTTCTTGACATGTGTAAACAGTGGCTGACTGATGTAACCTTGATTGGCAGACTGATATTTGTCTACAATGGAGTACCAGTTTAAGTTGAATGATTTGAATTTTCAGGTTGTTTGTCTAAAAACAATCTACTACAGTCCAATTTTCTTGTGTATTTTAGTCATTGAATATCTGCTTAGAATTATTTTATTTCATCTAAACAAATGGTGTAATTCGCTGAACTTTCAAATAACAAAGAAAGACCTATTGACCGTTTTAAACAAGGCAGAACAAAGATGCAAATTAAATAATACTTCTTTGGTTTTCTCTTATGGAAACGTTAGTAAATAACAATTATTAGCCGTAAACAAAAATAAATTATTGATATTTTACTGAAATGTCAACAAATCTCCTTTTGTGTCTTTCCTTGTGAAATAAACATGACATGACATTTTTCCCTATTTTATTCCAATCATACTTGCTGCTATAGTTTAGAAGTAATATTGGTGTAGTTAGAAGCAATCAATTAGAGGCGTGTACACCTTATTGTTTGTCTATATATTTAGAAGTGTGTAGGTTCACATGTCAGTGAATAAATAAATATTAAAAACTGTGGTCATAGTCCAAATAGTAAGAATTTCTGCCTTATCACAATAAAATAATACAGCCATGTTCATGGTGGGAAGACAATAAGCTAGACTGAAGTTTGAAGAGTGTTTTCATTTTTCTGTTTTACAAATCATAACAGAACAATCTGAAACTCTGTTGAGTTAATTAATATTTCATATATATGGTCGTGTTTACAGGTTTAAAAATTTCCTATTTACTGACAGATTTTGAACCGTTGATTTTAGAAGAAATAAGAACGCGTTCATATGGAAATCAAAAAAAAGGGAAAGTCAATTAATTTAGCATGCGTACTATTGAAGAGTTTTATAAAATGATAATGTAGCTATACAGTCCATTTTAGCTTCTTCCGGTTCCTTGGTTAACATTATTTCGTGACAGTCGAAAATAAGTGTAGTAAGAATCTTATGACAAGTGGAGTTTTTGTTGATTGATAACAGAAGGAATTACATAAGACGCATAACTTAGAAGGGGGTATAATTCCAGTAAGAGTAGCTAAGTGAAGAATTATTATCTAGTGTAAATGACGTATGATAGCCAATATGAAATTTGTTGGATAAAACAGAATGTAGCGAAAAACAAAATAAACTACCAGTATATACTCAAAAGAAAATGATGACAT